CTTAGAGTTAGTAATCTGAACTTGAATCCAAACTCTGCACTTAGTGATTAGGCCTTGAAATCTGGATTAAGTTGGCCAATTTGAAGGAAACAAAAGTCACTCTAAGCTGAGAGAACCATAAAAGCTAAGATAGGAAATTGCTTGGCACTTATGAAGGACAGCAACTGATTTAATTTGGTTGGAGTAAAGAAAACATGAAATAGACTAGTGAGAAATAAGCATGAAACTTCAAATTGTTAACAGATCATGGAGCTTCCTGATGAAATTCAGGAGAGTGGACTTGTTATAAAGGCAAAAGAAAGTGAAGAAAGTTTTGTGAATGATATTATTAAAGCTGTTAAAAATGAAATTTAATCTTAGAGGTGGCTAAGCTAAAGATAATAATGATTTCAAAGCTATTTCTGTAATCGAGAAGACATGTACTGAGGGACAGAATCAGAGGACATGTGTTAATATTGAGGGGACATAACTTAATGGAGAAATGTTGGAAAAAATTTACTTTACATGTCCCATTATTGAAACTCAGATCAATATAGAGACAAAGAGCATGTCACATATTTAAGTTTGAATCACTACTGAGTAATATTCTCATTTACATAACAAAAAGAACAAAAAAAAACAGGTTTATGAGCAATGAAATAAAGCTCACCTCGGGACACAGTAGGTTTGAGAAATCAGCGGACATCAAGGTATAGATACATACCAAAGAGCTGAAGATGAGTTGGAAATGTAGCTGTAGCTCAAGAGATATTAGAAATGGTGAAAATATAGATATACCGGTCATCTGCATACAGCTTGAAGCCCGGAGATGAAATCATATTGATAAAAGAGAGTATGTACAAATAAGAGGGTCAAGAGATTTTCCATGAGACTCCTACACTAAAGGGAATTGGAAGAGGAGAAAGGGCTAAACAGTGAAAGAGGTACAGAGCAGTCAGAGAGAGAGAAGAACCTGATCAGTCTAGGGGCTATGACAACAGTATTTCAACTATGGTAGAAAGCCTGAGAGCTGAAAAGAAGACATTTGATTTAGTGGCTAAATATAATATTTTTTGTTGCTGTTGTTTTTTATTTTAAGATTTTATTGGGGAGTTGGGAGAGGGAACAGCGCTGGGGAATCAGGGAAGGGGAACACACAAGTTGCTGTCCTTTTTTTCTTCAGTCTAGTTGTGGAGGACGTCACTTCACTGGCCCATGTTGGTATTATCATTGCGTTCTTCCCAGGTGAGGCAGTCGTTCGCCGGCCATTGGATGGCTGCTCACAGCGGCTCACGCCAGCCCCACTGCAGCCTACGCCGTCGCCAGCGACTCACGGCAGCCCAGCTCCAGATTGAGCTGTTGTTCAGCATCTTAGCTGTAGAGGGCAGTGTCACTGGCCCTCATGTGGGATCCGAACCGGGGCCCTGCTGCTCAGAGCTTGCGCTCCCAAGCCAACTCGTAACCAATGAGCCACTCAGCCGACCCATAAATATAATTATTTTGGAAGGAAGGAAGGAAGGAAGGAAGGAAGGAAGGAAGGAAGGAAGGACGGACTACAGAAGGTGGTAAGTGAAAGAAATAGTTACATAATAGTACATTAACAAGATGAAGTGCAGAGACATATATTTGGGGAGGGGTGGCATGCATGTGGGTATGAGCGCCTACAGTAATTTAGGACAGGATGAGGCTCCAGGACAGACAGAGCAATTGAAGGTAAAAAAGTGATTGGGGGTTTTTGATATAAGATTAAGAGTAGAACGAGAGGTATGATCAAAGTCATAAAAATAGGAAATAAATATAGCTATACAAAGGAAATCCTCCATCTAAGGATGGATGGCAGTTCAGTCATACAATGAGGAAACATTAAGGGTTCATACAAGATGGTCTTTCTCCTTGGTAAACTATGAGAAAAACTCATTTACAGGCAGAAATCCTGAGGTAGGTCAGATTGCGTCACCTCAACAGGTTCACAAACTGTAATGAGTAAGTCAGATTTTCCAACTTTGGCACAGATGCGGATAACTGATATTTCTAAGATTTGGGGAATTTTTAAGATAATTAATGAGCTTTATGTTTTCCATAGGGGACAGTCGCCTGCATGGCTATCTTCTCTACTATGGAAAACTTTACCCTTCCCTGTAGACCACCAAGTAAACAATGGGATGTAACCCTCCAATGGAATCCAATCTGGCCTGTCTAAAGTTCATTTGAGGTGGATCAGACATAACCAGTAGGGGGCAGTATGGGTTCAGCCCCGCTGACAAATTCTTTAGGAAAAAAAGTTTCTCAGTCAGTAAAAAAGACATGACGTTAACTATGTGTAACACTATCTTCTTATGTGCTACCTTAGAAACAGGCAAAATACATCATTCCCCATCAACTGTAATTCATGCCTTTTCTTTTCTAAAGGATAACATTAGGCTCATTTCAGTAGCTTATGTTAAATAAAATAAGTGAATTTGTTGACTATTTTATTATATATGTTTCGCAATGTTTAGACAAAAGTCAAGTGAAAAAAACGAAGTCTAGCAAAATTATGTCAATTTATAATTACCTCATTAAGGAGTCATACCTGAGCAATGCCTTAATGAGGTGGTAATGAGGTAAAAATGTGCTGCCAGAATGGCGTTGGAGAAAACCTTCTGGAAAAGGCAGCTCAATAAAGCGATAATGAGGGCGGAACAACTTATTTCTTTGCTTTGGCTTTGCTCCTTTATTTTAGAACGTACAGACTTATTCTATAAGTCTTGGAGGTTTCAATGGGGGATGGTAATAAAAAGAGCCTATAGGGAAAGTCAGGGAGAGTGGGGGAGAGGGAGGAGCACGGGGAAGAAAGAAAAGGGTGAATAAACTTAGAAGGGTATAAAACTTTCGAGCCTCTGTCAAGTTTAGGAGGAACTTATTAGTTTATATAATGTGGACATGTGACATATAGTAACCAGTAATGTATGGCAAAATGATTGGGTTGTCGGAAAAGTCACGGTACATTTTTGCATCGAAAAACTTAGAGAAAAAAATACGTCATGACTTTTCCGACAACCCAGTCTTTTCATTTACTGATAATGACAAAGGAGATTAAGTTTCTTCTTCAATTTTATACAACTAGCCTTTGTGACATCATGGATGAGAATGTAATTGAAGATAAGGTTGAGTCACACAAACCTTCTTACAGGGTCTCCTTCGTTCATCTTTGCAAGAAAAGTAGCCAAGGAAAGAGGGCATAACCAAGCTCTGAACTGTTTCCCTCGGCGAATCTTTCAGTGTTAAGAATTTTCAACCTCAGGCGTCAATTAACTATGCCAAATAAATCATTAATTAAATGCAACCACTATCTTAAAAGAAAAAAAAAACCTCAATGAGTCTCTGAAACTGTATACTTTTCTACCAATAAGATCAAGTCTATCATTTCTAAATTCCCATTCATACTGTAGTTTTGATAAAAGTCACTTCCTCGAGAACTTTTCAAATTGCTCTACTCAGCAAAATAAATAGTTTTCTTTTAAAAATAAATTCTAGCAAATCTAGCAATTCCAGCACATTTCACTTCCATGCTCTAACGTATACAAGGCTATAATTTCTTGTATTTTTAGGTTTCCTACAATATTGCAATGGTGGAAAACTCCACCGGATAGATTACTTATGTGGAAAGTTTTAAATGGTACATAGACTCTGAACTGGTTTTAGTGTGACTTTTTTGTCTAAATACTAGAGCCCATTATATACAGGTTTAAATTAGCAAAATTAAAAGTGATTGTATAAAGAAGCTAGCAGTTATTTTTTTTAAATAGAATGGAAATACATTTTTATAGAATGAAAATATAATAAAGCCATCTATATAGAGTAGATATTTCCTTAACATACCATGTCTAGAAAAATCTCCCAATACTGTGATTAGTAAATTTCATCCACTTTTCCAATTCTTTCAAAAGTTTTAGAGATACACACACACACACACACACACACACACACCTTTAGTGAGCTTAATGGTTGTGTGGACAGAAAAGGGGCCACATGTTAAACCTGACAAGCTCAGGAGACTGAAAATAACCACAGAGGCTGGTGTGAACATAAAAATTCCTCATTAAAGTGAGTCATGGCAGAAAGTCACATCTCTTGAGCTTCCTCATTAAGTTAATCTGTGCCTTTTCAGTGGGCCTGCTCTTTGTCTTTTTGTACCTAAAATAACATCTTTAATCCTCCATACACACACACCAAAGCTGGAAACTGCAGAATTCCTCATTATCATGCTTGTGTCCTGATTACCATCTCTATGTGCTGTAAAGAGCGAACTGTTAGCTATCCTGCACCCACCTGTGTGGGAGGAGTACCTGTATTTCCAATGTACTTTTATCCAATCCCAGAGATTTCCCCGTTTTGCTTTCTCCCACCCCCTTAATCTATCACCAATGGACTTCATGTAACCTCCCTCCTTTGATTTTATGTATAAAATAAACTGCAAGCTGCCATTTTGCGGAGCATTTTCTCAATCCGTTGAGATTTTGCTTCCCGGCAATTGTCGACAGTTTGGCTCCAATAAACTCATAAGTTTTCTCTTAAACTGGATATTTTTTCATCAAAAGTTGCTTATAACCAATTGGTAGTCTTTGGGAAAAAGAACCTTCCAGTTAATCATATAATGAAAGCACAAATCACTACTATGAAATTCCCCATTCATGAAGAATCTACATATGTTAAACCTGGAGCAGCACTTCGTGAGCTATACAAATGTCTAAGCACTACACGGTACACCTGGAACTCAAATAATACTGCATGCCAACTGTAACTGGAAAAGAAATTTTGAAAAGCAATAAATTTTTAAAGCAGTGAAAGAAAACCTAGAGAAGTCTAATAACAAAAGAGCATCATGTGAGAGCATCTAATACAACTGGGAACAACGACACAGCTCTCGAGGGTGGATGAAAAAGGCACTGGTAAATTCAAACAAACAACAGCCACATTTGATTTTCCTGGGTGAAGAAATTCTTTGCTTTGTAGAACAGAGAGAGTAAATGTTGACAGACCTGTGAAGGAAATGGGCTCCGTGTGGGGTCAGAGGTGGAGACATAAGCAGCCTGTGTGTAGGCATAGCTCTTGAATCGCGGCTTAGGAGAGGAAGTTCTTTCATAGCCCTGTGCTAGACTGACTGTGATCTGCAGAAAAGGATTAGGGGGAGGGGGCAGAGAGGAGGAGGAGACATCGTCAGTGACCCTGGAAGGACTGCTTTCTGACACAGCAGAAAAACGAACATTAAATGGATACTGTGAGATGGAAAGTTTAATCGTGAACACATATAAAGTGCTGATAGAAACCAGACCACTCCAAGAATTGTGGTGCTCAGTGTCATGGTGGGGAGCGGGTCATCATGGGGGATATGAGGGTGGGATTTAAACATAAGGATTCCATACTGACACAACTCCAGCGTGAAGAGGGGATGATGCTCTTCATCCTGGCAAAACCGGGCAAATAAGAGCAATATTCTCTGAACCCAAAGTAAACAAAAGCGGAATTCATCAGGTCAATACCTTGAAAAGGACTGAAGCTTTCACAGGCTAAATATAGAGCTAGCTCTCGGTAGAGTGAGAAAATTAGGCCTAAGAGCTTTCCACACCTTCAGCAGAAATTTAGCTAAAGGTTTTTTTATTATTGTGTCAAAGAAAGTATGAGAAAACACCCCAAATACCCACTGTTGGCAGCAAAACAAGCCATACAGTGGAAGAATCCTACAGGATTCTGTACAATAGCATAATAAAAATCTTTATCACATGTAGTCTCCATTTCAGTTTTATTTAAAAATTTTAAACTACTTTTATCAAAAATGTCGCCTTGGGTAATCAAAATATGTTAATGCATCAGATGCCACTAAAATAAGAAAATATTATTAAACAGATATTCAATTACTTGTCTTAGCTCTTGCTCTAATTCTTTGCTCTTGGCTCTAGTTGATGGAAAGTTTAATGTGTATATGAGCCTATCTTTCATTTTATTTTACACAATGAAAATAAAATATTTTCTGTGTTCCACATTCCTATAATATGGTGCCTATCAATAGCAATAGCAGAGTATTTTAATAAGGTGTTTTGAAAACAATTATATTATAGCCCAGGGGTGTCAAACTGGTGGCCGGCGGGCCGCATGCGGCCCTTGAGGTAATTTTTTGTATACTCGTCTTCAGTAGTTAAAGGGTTAACGAGGGAATTGTGTGTACTGTATTGCCTCAATCTCCCCTAAGCGCTATTTTCTTCATAACATTTTTTTTCTATTTTCATTTTATTCAGAGCATTGTGGGCCACAAAAAATTACCTCGCGGGCCGCCAGTTTGAAACCCCTGTATATAGCCCATGACATCACATAAAATTTTAAAGGTTTATAGTCAGTCTCAGTCTGTCTCTCCATCTTTCTCTCTCCCTCTCCCTCTCCCTCTCTCCATGTCTCTCTCTCTCTCTCTCTCTCTCTCTCTCTCTCTCTCTCTCTCTCTCTCTTTTCCTCCCCCCCCCCACCTTCCATATATTATATGAGGTCTGACAATTAAGTTCCCGAACTTGTTGCAACAATGTTGCAAACCTGTTTTGATATCAAAGCGATTATTCATCATGAATTTGTACCAACTAGAAAAACAGTTAACCAAGTTTACTATTTGGAAGTGCTGAAAAGGCTGAATGAAAAAGTTAGACAACCTGAACTTTTCACCAACAATTCATGGTTCTTGCATCACGACAATGCACCAGCTCACACGGCATTGTCTCTGAGGAAGTTTTTAGCCAGTAAACAAATAACTGTATTGGAACACCCTCCCTACTCACCTGATCTGGCCCCGAATGACTTCTTTCTTTACCCAAAGATAAAGGAAATATTGAACGGATGACATTTTGATGACATTCAGGACATCAAGGGTAATACGACGACAGCTCTTATGGCCATTCCAGAAAAAGTTCCAAAACTGCTTTAAAGCGTGGACTAGGCACTGGCATCAGTGCATAGCTTCCCAAGGGGAGTATTTCGAAGGTGACTGTAGTGATTTTCAGCAATGAGGTATGTAGCACTTTTTCTAGGATAACTTCGCGAACTTAATTGTCCAACCTCGTACATACACACACACACACACACACACACACACATATTATACTATGTATACAAATAATATATTTGTGTATATATACTATGCTATATACAGAGGGTACCAAAAATGTATACACATGACTTGTATTCATCTTTCATTATCGGTGTATATTGAGTATTACAATTTTAATACAGTTTTTTCCTTTCTTAAAACGTGAATACATTTTTTGGCACCCTTTATATATATGTGTGTATATATATCCATAGACATAATAGATTTATATAAGTGTATGATACCTAAAAATGCGGATAAAGTAGAAAACATCTTTGATATTAATTGTTCTTTTGGCACTTTACCTGTTGAGAATAGTGCATTTGATGATGTAACTGAAAATGTTCTTCTCTAGTAACTTTGGATGGCCTTGGTAACATTTCCACTTCCTGGATGGCTTCAATGCTCACTTGTTGAGGCAAAACTTGAAAGAGTGATGTGACGTACATTAAGATGGACTTCTTATCTGGATAAGTGGTGGCAACATCTGTAAACACATTAACATCACACATCAATTTCTGGTTTCTCTATTTGAGCCTCTAAAAGGGGAATGAACAAATCAATGTTACAGGAAGAAGACAGATTAATGAGTAGTTGATTGTCCATGAACATCCTCCAGAGACTAATTAGAACATAATAATCAGGCCTAAAATGCCCTTCCCATTTGGCAGACCAACTAGATGTGCACAAAAGTTAATTTCTTTTCCTTATTCACTGAAAACCTTCATGCTCTAATCCTTTACCTTAGTCAAATTGCCAAAGTAGCCCATCTAAGAGAGTGGTTCTCATTAGATAAGAAACAAAAATAAAAGATCACATCTTCTGCAAACTAAACAGAAATAATCTCACAGGTATAGAGAAAAACTAATGGTTGCTAGATGGGAGGGGGGTGGGGATGGGGGAGAAGGTAAAGGGATTAGAAAGTACAAATTAGTATCCACAATACTGCCATGGGGTTATGAAAGACAGTTTGGGAATATAATCATTCAATGGAATTATAACAGCGATATACAATGTCAGAGGGGTAGCAGATTGGGGGAAGGGGGTTGTCACTTTGTGAGGGTATAAATGCCTAATTATTACATTGTTTTCTACATCTAAAACTAATAAAACAGAAAGATTACATCTTCCTTTCCACGGAGAGTTATATTAGCATGTCAGTTAAAATGGTGCATTGGTAATTAAACAATTACACAAAAGAGCTTAATGCTTTGGCTTCCAGTAAAGAAAGCTTATACTTCCTAATCAAATTTTTACTGGCGATTAAGTATGTAAAGAGCAAAATATATCTCTGTGTTGAAATGAACCATGTATTTTCACAATGAAAATAAAATCAAACAACTATATACCATATGTATAATGATTTGCCATCTTCCTAAGGTATAGTGAAAATATTTGTGCAATATAGAGATGATGCATTGTAGAATTGCACACTTGAAACCTATATAATTTGACTGACCAATGTCACCCCAGTAAGTTTAATAAAAAACTTTAAAAATTTTTTAAAAAGAAAGTTAAATTATAATATGTTACTCCCTAAGAGTGTCTGATATTAATATGTTTACTAATTATGATCTTAATATACATGTAGGAATGAAATAGTAAACAATGAATGTTGAATGACTATGCACTATTCAGTCAAAAGTAGAAAGTAAAACATTGTATTTGGGAAAAAAATTGTTTACATTATGGTACATTTGTTAAAGTCAGCTGTGCTTTCCTTCTCAGACTTTAGAGACAAATTTAAAAGTCCTTCACATCAAGTTGACGTGCCATTATGTCCTTTGCCACATCCAGGCAATGAAAGAAACCTAGCATTTTAAAGTCAAGAATAATTTGTAATAACACACATAATAAGTGGCAGCTCCTTCAAAAGATTCTTTTGCTACTTGGCATTACAATGTACCCACTGAGCTCATTCCAGGGAACTCAGATGTAAAAATAATCCTTTATGTGAAGTATATCATTAATCCCAGAAGCGTTAAAACATAAGTCCTGGTAGGAGGCCATGACAACTTTGCAGCAATGCGCCAGGCATTTTTCTTGCCAAAAATTTATCTGAGCTAGCATTAAAAGATCTGTTTGAAATAAAATATGTATATTCTGGTCAGGTGTTCTGATTATGACTCAAGAAATCTCAAGTCCACTAGCATAAAGGGAGGCTGAAGGGGTCATTTCGTCCATCCCTTCACAAGTAGCAGGAACATGATTAATCAGAGAAACTATTTTTAAAGTACTTTTAAAAGAGTTACAGGGGAGGGAAAAGTTAACTAATGTTCCTTGGTCTGCTTCTATCCATAGTATAATACAGTACTTCTCAATTTTTAATGTGCGTATGAATCACCTGGGGACCTTTTTAAAACCAGAATCTGATTCAGCAGGTCAGGGGCAGAGCCTGAGTCTCTGCATTCCTAACATGCCCCCAGGTGATGCTGAAACTTCTAGCTTGAAGACCATGCTTTCAGTAACAAGAGTCAAAAAAACTACAGGGAAGCAGACTGTTAGGCCATCTACCGTTTCACTGTTTTACTCACCTTTTTTTTTTTTGAAAGACACTTATTGGACATTTAAATGCACAAGGGTGAGAGGTACAAAGTTATACATTGCATATTTTCTGCTCCTTATTATAGTTTAATTATTAACCAACAGATGGTGAAGGTAATTTTTTGCAAGTAGTTTTCGAGGAAGAACTAACAAATACTATGTGCATGAGTGCTGGCTTTCTAAAAAATCTTACTAACTCAGCTTTAAAATTCTGAATTCAACAATCCCCCTTTCATTTGATAATTGTTTTCCGATTGTTCACTGTATGGTGGATACTATACCTCGCCATATTTTGAAACTCTAGAATGTTTTCTTCCTTCTGACTAGTAACTAGTTAAGTTTTATCAGTGATGAGTGTAATTTAGAATTCTGTTTATTTTTTAGTGTATTCAAATAAAACCATGCTGTGAGAAAGGCACTGAATAAAGACTATTTACTGCTATATTTATATACATACATATGTGGATGTATGTTTGCCTTCAAATATATGGCATGATAAAAAGGAAAAAAGGTAAAAACAGATCAAGCATTATTTCTATTGCCCCAAGCCCATGTCTAAAATTATAATACATTTCAACTACAGAAACCATCTTGTGGATGAAAGCAAATACTCATAAATATAAATCATTACAAAAAAGATACACCATTTGGGGTGCCTGGTTAGCTCAGGTGGTTAGAGTGCAGGCTTTTAACACCAAGGCTGCCGGCTCGATCCCTACATGAGCCAGTGAGCTGCGCCCTCCACAACTAGATTGAAAACAACGACTTGACTTGAAGCTTATGGGTCCTGGAAAAAACACACTGTTCCCCAATAAAGTTTAAAAAAAATAAAATAAGGGGCCGACTGAGTGGCATGTTGGTTAAGAGTTGGCTTGGGATGCCAGCTCTGAGCAGCAGGGCCCCGGTTCGGATCCCACATGAGGGCCAGTGACGCTGCGCCCTCTACAGCTAAGATGGTGAACAACAGCTAGACCTGGAGCTGGACTGCCATGAGTGGCTGGTGACGCTGTAGGCTGCAGTGGGGCTGGCCGGCAGTGGGTGTGAGCTTTCATGAGCTGCCGTCCAATGGCCGGCGACCAATCTGCCTTATCCGGGAAGAACTCAATGATAATACCAACATGGGCCAGGGAAGCGACGTCCCCCACAACTAGACTGAAGAAGAAAAGGACAGCAACTTGTCTGTTCCCCTTCCCCGACTCCCCAATGCTGTTGTCCTCCCCCAACGCAATAAAATCTTTAAATAAATTAAATTAAATTAAATTAAATAAATATGCACTATTTGGTCAAACTATTGACATTTTTGCCCCTACTCATTACCATCCCAACTCTGAGGTTGTTGTGTGGGATTCAGCTGTACAAATAGGCAGAAATAAATATTTTGCTATTTTAAAGAAAGGAATTTAGATATTTAAATATATGTTCTAAACTGAACATATATTTACTATAGACTTAAAATGTTTTAATAGATGATCCAGGAGGTTAACAAGATAGAGAAATCATGGAGTGTGCTCACAATTTGGACTAATAAAATAAATAAAGAAAAAGAAAAGTACAAAATCAATGCATTGCTGAACAGAATGTAAAATGGGTTCCTCCAATTGGCACGAGTGCTTTAATATGTTCAGAAAAAGATACAAATTATAGATTATTGGGGGACCAGAAAATTCTATATGAATAGGAAACTGAAATAAGTATGTATAAGGTTTCACTAGCTGCAAATTGGAAAATGGGGAAAGATATTCCAGACAGTGGAAAAGCATGAGCAAAAGTGCAGAGGCAGGGACAGATTAGACACGTTCCGGGAATAGTGCCTTTGGGTGTCTCAGCCACAAGAGGATAGTGAATAAGATAACATGGGTAGGTTGTGTGTAGACCATTGAGAGATTGACAGCAAAGTACAAAATCTAGCCTTAGTTCAATCAGTTGGAGAGTAACTAACTACTCTTGAACAAAAGGGTAACACCATTAAAATTTTTGTAAAGTAAAATGGTTAAGTGCAGAATGGATTCATGGAGAACAATAAAAACTGGAGGGAAGTAGCAGGCTCGGATCCAATCCACACAGGCAGTGTTAGAGAACTTAAATAGGCTGTGTCACGAAAACAAGGGAATGCAGGATAGAATGCTAAGATGAGTCCAAAACAACTTCATTCAATTTTCAAATCACTTACTCCACCGTCTTCAAAAATGCCTCTATAAAAAATTCTGTCCTAAGCCCTGAGGGTACCGAGATTAATAAACTGAGAATGAAATGGAGAAGGTCAGAGGGAGGAAACTGCTTGTTCTGTAGCCAGGAGAACAAGAAGCCACCAACACAAGTTTCAGTCTCATTTAATCAATTCACAATTACCTGCCTACACGGTCTCGATCAGGCTTCCCCAAGTGGCAACCCCTCCCTTCTGCAAGTCTGTCCATCAGGAGTGAACGCATGTCAGTGAACTAAAGACAGTGAACAAAATTCTGAATGCAAACCAATTAACAGTGGTCACACCTGAATAACCAACCAGGCTTCTAAACGTGACATCAAACTATAATACAACTCCGAATGTCCACAGATCTCTTGGCCTCGGGTTTCTTCCCAAACCTAAGAACACTCTATTTTGAGCGACTGTAGTTGATCCGCATAGTTCTCTCTGATTTAATTAAGCAATAAACTCAGCTTTGTGTTTTCATTTAACATATTGAGTAATAGTTTCATCATTTCATAAAATCCAAGTGATGAAATTCACTTGTAAATTTCAACTTATCAACAGGAATTTATTAGATGAGAGTGTGATGCAATGAAAGAATAAGCAACCCTCAATCTGAAGTTTTGGATTTTTACAAATCTGTACCTTACTATTTATATCTGTAAAGAAATATCATTAACAGTGTTTACTTCTCTTTCCTCATCTGTGACATAAAAATCAGAGTCGCAATCTCACCATAGTGTTGTGAAGGTCAA